TAGTTCGCTGCATGCATTTACATGTTATATTTCACCAGCTGAGCTCCCAGAGGGTAACTGCTTTGAGAGATGGTATTCAAACCCATCTCTAGATTGGCACAGACACCAACTACTCAGAACAGAAGCCAGCTGTAAGCAACCAGTAGGAACGAGCTGGTGCACACTAGCACAGCTTCAGACTGGCTGATGTGCATCTGTGTAAGAATCTATGATTCTATTCTAGAATCCATTTCTTTCTTCATTTTCAAAATTACTAGCAGGAAAGAGGCAGAGAGAGAGGGAAGGAAAAGGAAAAAGCACTTCCCAATGGGGCATGGTCGCATTGCAATTCTTTTCCTTCTGGTTGCCCATCCCATCAGGATTTGGGAAATGCATGCATACACACCTGGTGTATTTTCCAAACCACTGGGGTGGGATTTGAACCATGGTTGTCCATGTGGGATCTGGTTCCCAATACAAGCACTTAACCACTGCTCTATAGGGCTGACCCTCTAGAATCTATTAGGTCTTCAGAAAAGTCATGACACGTTTTCCTGTGTGTGTGGTGTTTTTTTTTTTTTTTTTTTATTTAAAAGTGTGTAGTGACTTCTCTGACAGTCTAATATTTCTACTCTGTACTTGGTCCACTCGTGAAATGTGTCTTCATGTAACACTGAGGAAGGGCTGTCTGAGTTAGTTTCTAGTGCAGTAAAAGCCATAGTGCATGCTGTAGAGGAAAGAAACAAGCAAACAAACAAAATAAAAAACCAATACTGGTGCTAACTATACGCACTACCTATTTCTGTGCAGTGTGAAAGGAACTATTCTCTGGTGGAAATTGATATCTCTATCTGAAAGGCAGGATGTGGCCTCTACAAACCTGCTCTTACGAAAAGACAGCTCCTACAAAGACTGCATCAAGCCTTCATCTCACAAAGAACTCCTGCTGGCACCATCCAAATTATTAACTCTAGAAACCCCCAAAATAGATTTCCTAAACCAGCTGACTCTGAACTTCTGCTATAGTCACATAGACTATCACGAGCCCAAGTATATGTTTCATTAAACGGTGTTGAGTCTACGGAAGCATTAACTACTGAATGGTACCTAAGAATCTAACAGAGGATTATTTTCTGCATGTATTAGTCACTGCCACCTCCTGACAAAATGTGACACTCTAGTTAAGGCTCTATTAGATATGCTAAATATCAGAAAGAAAAAGAGAACCATGAGATGGGGGTTGCTACAAGGAATGAGTGAGAGCAAAGGAACAACATTGGAAGAGAGGCCTTTGGCTCATTATAATACCCAGACAGGCTCAGTTTCCCATTGAAAAGCACAAAATACTAACATTAGAATAATAGTAACATAACCTACGACTATAGTTACAGCATTTAGAGGAGTGTTCTTCCATTTTCTTTAAAGTGCTTTTATTTATTTGGGAAGAGAGAAAGGGGAGGGCATCCCTGACATGGTCTCATCATGCCATCATCTAACCCCACCCTCCAGCCAACCAGAATCAGAGGCTCACCCACAGGCACACCTGGCATGTTCGGATGGACCCAGGATCTAAACCCCAGGCCTTCTCGTATGGCTCTGTCATTGCACAGTGGCACGATGACATACAAGGTTGGTCCCAGAGGAGCTTTCTGACAGATATGTAAAACCTACTTTACACAAGTTGACTTTATGGTGACTTTTATTGGGACAGTTCAGTTGCATAAAGCATGGAATAACCACTATGGAACAAAATTTTCCATTTGCATTTCTACAGAACCTGATATAGAGCATGAAGAACCTTTCCTCCTCTCCATTTCTCTTTCCAGTATTTATTTTTGGTTCATATCTGTATGCTCAAGAGCAACTTTGCACAGAATGTCAGAAATTGCAACTCCAGTCCATTGCAGACCCCCAAAGTCAGTACTATTGACAGTGTATTTACAGAGCACTACCGTATTTCTTATCGGTTCATGGCAAGACTCACTGAGATTGAGATTTGCATCTAGAATTTTCTTCCAGAAATTTGTCATAGGAATTTTAAATCTCTTAAAATCATGTTTAGAAAGGGGGTTGGGGTTCCATGTTGTGTATTCATCTGTGAGGAACTGGGAATTTAAAAGAACTAACTAGTTTTTAACCCCAAAGAGTTTGAAAAGCACTGTCTTCACTTGTGGTCTTTCTGTTTGCCAATGCCGTGTTCCAGATCCACAATTACGTGATGACTAATTCTGACGATTTGAATGCCCAGAGTGCAAAATCAGTACAAAGTCCGATGGAAATAATCCACTGCCTACTACTGATGTTTGCTTTTCTACCTTGAAAAACACAAGCACATATTAGTTCATTTCAATTTTTGCAATCAGATGAGATAGGAAAGATCTTATCTATATGTTATAGTGATTCAGCTGAGCTCAGAGACAGTGTACACTATCTAAGGTCCCACAGCTAAGCTGACAAGATGGAAAGGGTCAGATGAGAATTGAAGAGCTTATTTACTGGATGAGTGACCATGAAGAAATTGCTTAATCTCTTTGAGGTGTACTTCCTTATCAAAAGCTAGCAGATAATACTTATCTTACAGGAAGATGAAAGGAATACATGAAAAAAAAAACATGGTAACCACTCAAAATAAACATCGCAACCACTCAAAAAGAATTTTTTATCTTTGTGAAGGATCTGGTGCACTGGAACTACAGTTAAAACAATGGTATCTTGGGCCAGCAGATGGCGAAGTGGTTAAGACGCTGGATTCCCACATGACTGACCAAGGTTGGAGTCCCAGACTCAGTGGCTTGTAAAATCACTGTGGGTGCATGTGTGTGCAGGCCCAAAATCCCAAATGAAGGATGGGGAGGAGAAGGGGCTGCAACATAGCCATCCCTCTTGGGATCTGGAGTGGGGAGGAAGGTAATTTTTCACTTTCCCTCTCTTGGTCTCTCTCTAGTGAGTCCACATGTCCTATAGCAAAAACCTAAACAAAACAAAGCAACGACAAAAGAAATTTTTCCCCAGGACCTGACACACATACAAAAAGAAAAAAGTCAATAAATACTAGTAGAATAAGTGACTAAGTGAATGAGAATATGTTTTTCTTCTGCACCTTCCTAATGCATGCAGAGGTTAACCAAAAGGAATATAATCTTGCCAATTATATTCCCTATTACTATATTATTAAGGATTTCCTGGGTTGTGTTCAACTATACATAAAATTTTTGACACTCACCTTTAAGATTTTCAAGCTCATTTTAATTGAATAACACTTTTTTTCTATAAAAAGTTTCGAGATCTACTGTTTAAAACAAAGACAAGAAAATTATGGGTGACAGAAACAGTAGGATCTAGTTCTTGAGTTAGCCTGGACCTACAATAGCCCTTGGGACACTTCCTCAGATCCCCGAGACCCCATTGAGCACAGTCTGAAAAACATTATTTTTTTCTGTTAATGGAACGTATGAATACTTGGCAATAGAAATAGGCTTGACCAAAGTCACCTGAAATGACATGAATTTAGTAAGTTTGAAAAACATAAAGGCGGGAACCAGCAGTTAGTGTAATGGCTATGTCGCTGGACTCCCACGTAGTCGACCGCGGTTTGTGTCCTGGACCCGGTGGCTTAAAACTCACGCCGGGCGCGTGTGCGTGCGTGCCCAAGATCCCGAGAGGAGAATGGAGGAGAAGGGATTGCGGTGTGACCATCCCCCCTGGGGGGTGATTTCTTGCTTTCTGTCTCTATGTCTCTCTCTGTCTGTCTGGGGAGCGCACGCGCCCTATAGCGAAAACCTCTCCCCCCCCAAAAAAAAAATTAAAAAATAAAAAATAAAAAACAGAAAGAAAAAAAAACCATAAAGGCGAGCATCCAGACTTTCAGGATCATACCTACCTTTCTCAGAAGTGATAACTAAGAATCAATGATTTTCATTTACCTTTTAAAAAGTCTGTCTGTAACAAGGGACCCATAATCTTGTTTTGCTTAATCTAATCACACTTCTCGCACATTTTGATAGTAATGCAGAATTTCCTGTGCACTGTGGTTTTAATTGTTTGGTTGATGCTGTGATTATCCAGAGCCAACTTTTCTCAAGCCCAATGACAGGGAAACACAAAAAAATCTATGAAAAATGAACCTTCTGATAATCTATCGATCCTGCCTTATGAAAGTTAGGTAGCTGAAAACACTGTTCTGACTAGCTGGAAAAAATATTATGGGGCTTCATTAGCAGACGTACTCAAAATATGGAGCTGCCCAGGTCAGCACTGAGGAAATTTGCTGGGATGCGACTGTTAGTGCTGCATGGGAAGCTTGGGCAAATAGAACCTTAAAAAGGCAAAGCCCCAGAGGTCCATCCACAGTTCAAAGTAGTTATACATGCCCCTCAGGAAAACTGTTTTTGTTTTGGTTAAGAGTTTTTGCCATAGGGTACATGTGCTTGAAGGAAAGAGAGAGAGACAGACAGAGAGAGAGAAAGGGAAAGTAAGAAATTGCTGGGAGGATGGCAATGCCGCAATCCCTTCTCCTCCATTCACCCCTAGGGATTTTGAGCATGTGCACACACATGCTCAGAGTGATTTTCACACCCCTGGGTCCGGGACTCAGACCTGGGAGTCCAGTGCCTTAACCACTATGCCAGCTTCTGTCCCCTCCCTGCCCCAGGAAAGCTGTTAATATGAGGAGCTTATTTTTAGCTTTGTTGAATTCATGGAGAAAGTTGGACATGCGAGCCATTCATGAAAATGCGAAAAATTTCCAGTCTTTGTCCTGACCTTCCTAGTCCAGTTCCCTCATCTGTATGGCTGACAGACCTTCTCTGTACTGACAGCCTTAGTATGGTTTGAATTAGCAAATGCTACCCAGGGATATCGTCATTTTATTTGTCTTTCACTACAGATTCCTCTTCTTTTTCCTTTTATCTTTTTTTAACTATAGAAGTTCTTTTTTTTTTTTCTATGTCATTACTTTTATTTTTAATGTCTAGAGCTTGTAAGACAAGGACTAGATAGGCTTCCTTCCAGACACAAAAGTTTTATAAATTCTCAATTGGCTGGTGAGGCCAAGGCCAATAGGAGTACTTCTTCTTGTCTAATACGGTTTCTGGAAAGACTTCATTCAAGTCCTCAGTGGTCATCTGATCAAATGGAATTATGGTCTTCATCTTCTTCAGCTGTTTCTGATATTCTTCCATCCTAGCTTTTGAGAGGGACACAAACTCATCACAACTTTTCACATCTTCCTTTTCTTCAGTGTCCAACTGGGCAGTGTATTTACCCTGTGGTACAGGAAACTTCAGGGCATTAAACTTCTTCTCAAAGTAGTCCACCAAGCCTGCCTTGGCCACGTTGGCCTTGTAGTACACCCAGTTGCCTCTCTATTTTTCTTTTATTATTTTAGCTTTTTTATTTCTTCAAATAATCTTTTCAAATTACATAGACTTGTACATTTTAGAACAAAGCCGTATTAAATGTCTTATGATATATGACAGATAATATAAGAATTCATGATTTCCAAAAAAAGGACAAAAAGGAACCAGCAGTTGGCATAATGGCTATGTCACCGGACTCCCATGTAGTCAACTGCAGTTCAAGTCCTGGACCCAGTGGCTTAAACTCACACCAGGTACGTGTGTGTGCATGCCCAAGATCCCAAGAGGAGAATAGAGGAGAAGGGATTATGACTTAACCATTCCCTCTGGGGGGTGATTTCTCATTTTCTGTCTCTCTGTCTCTCTCTGTCTTTCTGGTGAGTGCACACACCCTATAGCAAAAACATCCCCCCCCCAAAAAAAAAGAAAAAAGAATTCCCAATTGCCACATAATTTTCACCTAGAATAATAACAGGGTGATTAGCAAGATCTGTATCACCTTATAACCATGGATTATAAATTAAACGATATACTTTTACAATATCAGTTAGAAGTCAGACCTTGATATTTCATAACAACTTTGTAAGAATATGTTTGAACATCATCTCTGATGCTGGTAAGGGAATCTAACATTTGTGTCCTTAATTTAAATCTGTATTTCATTAAATCTCTGTTCTCTGGGCTGAGAATGAATTTCTTCTTTTCTTCTCCTTTTTCCTTTTTTTTCTTTTTTTTTTAAATTTTACTTTTAGGAGAAAATTAGGCCTATAAATGTTAAAGACTCTTATATTTTATATGACTAGACTCCAATTTTCCAGATTACTGACCCTTGATCTATTCATTAAATCAGGCCTTCAATAAAATGGAATTCTTTACATTGTTAAGATCTTCAATAGTCTTTAATAGCATTAAAATTTCTGTACCTACATAGAGAATCAAAAAAAAGATAAAAGTAGACATTTTTTTTTTTCCAGAGGGATTTTTGCTATAGGGCATGTGTGCTCACTGGAAAGACAGAGAGACAGACAGAAAATGAGAAATCATTCCCCAGAGGGATGGCTATGCCACAGTCCCTTCTCCTCCATTCCCCTCTTTGGATTTTTAGCATGCCTGTACACATGCCTGGCATGAATTTTAAGGCACATGATCCAGTACTCAAACCGTGGTTGACTATGTGCAAGTCCAGTGATGTAACCATTATGCCATCTGCTGGTCCCAAACTAGACATATTTTAAGGCTTAGAACCACCTTTAAAGATTTGGAGATTTCCAAACCAAGTCTACACTGTCCACAAATTTTATGTCACCCATGATATTAAATTTTAAGGGAAAAATTCTTTTTTTTTTTTTTGAGAGAGGTTTTTTCACTATAGGGCACGTGTGCTCGCCAGACAGACAGAGAGACATAGAGACAGAAAGTGAGAAATCACCCCCCGGGGGGATGGCCACACTGCAATCCCTTCTCCTCCATTCTCCTCTCGGGATCTTGGGCACACACGCACACACCCCTGGCATGAGTTTTAAGCCACCGGGTCTGGGACGCGAACCACAGTCAACTACGTGGGAGTCCAGCAATATAGCCATTACGCTAACTGCTGGTTCCCAGGGAAAAACTCTTTTAAATATTAGCTGCCTTTTGGGGCTATATTTCTTTCAACTAGACGACAAAAAAGTTGCATGTGGAGGTAAGAAACACTGCATGTAGACTTAGGAAATGCTTTAGCCCTAGTGTTGGGAATGCTAGCTAGAATCTTGAAATCTTTTGATTTTGATTACCTCCCTAGGAGAGATGACATGGGGTAAAAGAGAGAGAATGATGTAGGCTCATGATAAAATGTTCTTTCCTAAATGCATGGCCAGAAGATTAAGACTGAGAGGAAGTGATGAGTCGTTCAGTAAAACACCTTGCACAGTTGAAGTGTCCAATGGGCAACTGGCAGGCTAAGAGATAGAGAGCCAGTTGTGGCAGAGAGGAAATTATTGAAGATGGTGAAAGATTTGTTTTTACTCTCTATGCCAGGGTTAAATGATCTCAGAAGGGAAGATACATGCTGAAGTTTCCTCTATAAGAGTGAAGTAACTCATGTTGCAAATAATGCTATAAACGATTACCACTACAATTCGAAAATTGTGTACTTTTGATGAAAGTCTAGGATTGGTTTGGCATCAAAGTGCTTTGGGATTCCAGTCAGCCTGCATGCTTCCCACCTTTACAGATAAGAAGATGTATTTTGCCAAAACTAACTGATCCAGAACAATGATGGGTAATAAACCTCAAAATTATAATTTTATAATTATTTTCAAGGTCATTATGGAAATTATGATAGTTTTACCATATAAGCCAAGGTTCATTCTGAGACATTTCTGTTTATAATGCAAACATTGTAATTAAGAGTCTTCTCATAAAAAGACTCAATATTCTCCCTGTTGAAGGCTTTAAATGAATTCAAATATCAAAACTGTCTGTGTCTCGTTACTTTAATGATTTAGGGCCCTAGATTAATTAGGGTGAGATCAAGAAGACCACTGGCCTTTCTCAGTTCCATGTCACTGCCGGGATGAGTAAGAGCTACCTGGCCCTAAAATATTTCTAGTTTTTGCCTCTTTTTTTTTTTTTTTTTTTTTTTACAGATGCTAATTACTAGTCTCATAATCAATATCCATAAATCAAGCTGGAGGTTCTGCCTATGGGTTCATTCAGCAAATATTTACTGAGCAATCTGCTAGGCACCATGCCCAGCACTGAAGATTAGAAGATGAACAAAGAGAAGAGGAAAAACACACAAGAGCCAATTTATACCAGAAAGATCTTTTCATTCCAAACAGCCATAATATAGACATCATTACCCTTCAAAATAAAATCTATTATTTTAAAAGTAATAAAAATAAAATGTGATAATTACAACAAATGTGGAAAGGTAGAAAGAAGAAAATTAATATCCATAATAACACCCCCTGGAGATAATCACTATTGATTTGGGAATATTTTCTGTATGTGTGGATCAGAACGTTTGTGCTTAAAAACATCATGGATCATCTTGAGATAGATTTTTTGGCAGACTTCCTGATAGAGATTAGAAACTAAAGGCTTAAAGCTAAATTTACTGCTTACATGAGATTTTGTGATATTGAGTCTCTTCAATACTCTTAATCCTTCTCTACTTCATCTTGAACTGATAATTTAGTCTTATTTGAGTCTAAAAAGTATTATTTCCTCTGAGAGGCCTTCCCTAACAATTAGGTTCCCCATTCTACACTCCCAAAGCACTCCAATTTCCCTTATGTGTTTCAACTGTAATTATAACAAAATAATGAACTATTAGTAATGTCCATTTCTTCCATCATACTGTGGTAAGGCTTAAGCAGGGCCTTTCATATTGACTGTTAAATCCTTTCTCCCTTTCAAAATGTCAGGTATATAAAAATACACTTTAGCTTAGCTGAATGAATAAAAGTTTGTGGTATAAAGACCAAAGGTTCTACAAGAATCCTGACAGGACCAGAGGCTATGAAAATGAGCACAAAGCTACTACTCTAAACCCTGGTATGGTCTCAACCTGGTGGTGCAGTTGGTAGCAAACTGAACTAAAATGCTGGAAGCCACCTGGTCAACCACAGGTTCAGGAACCTCAGGTCTGCTTGAAAACATGACAGGTGCATATGTATCTGCCCAAGATCCTGAGGAGCTGGAGGACCAAGGAAATAGAATCTCAGTATAATGAGAGCCTATCTATTATAAGATAATTCTCTCTCTCTCCTTCCTGGTCTCTATTGCATGCATATGCGCTCTCTATTATGAATAAAATAAGTGTTAAACCTGTATGGTTTGGTTTGTATGTTGGTAGGGCAAAACAGTAAGAAACGAGCATGCCAGCATGGGGCCATAGAAATTTAGTGTGAAACCTTATGGAGAAGAGACTAAGGAATATTCCAGTGTACCTGACTGATGTAATATATTTCTGAAATTTCACTTTTTTGGGACATTTATCCACTTTCTTGTTGATACACGCTATAAATCTCAAGACATAGATGCACCCCAAAAATGACTTAAAAGTTTGTGTATAAAAATCATATTTAAAAATGCATGAAGATTTTCCAAGAAAAGCATCTGAAGATAACTCTACTGAAGTCATACTCTTGTATAATAAAGCAGATATTTTACCAAATGTACAGCAACATAAAGAACTTAGAAACATCCTGGAATCAAGATTTGTGGGAAGGGAATACTCTCTTATTCCAGGAGAATATTCTTTATATATGTATATATATATATATATATAAAGAAATTCATTAGAAGGAATAGTTTAGAGCAAAATTTTTTTTGAGAGGTTTTTGCTATAGGGCACGTGCACTTGCCAGAAAGACAGAGAGAGAGAGAGACAGAAAGTGAGAAATCACTCCCAGGGGGGATGGCCATGCCACAATCCCTTCTCCTCCATTCTCCTCTCGGAATCTTGGGCATGCACACACACGCACCTGGCGTGAATTTAAGCCACGGGGTCCAGGACTTGAACCATGGTCAACTACATGGGAGTCCAGCGAGATAGCAATTATTCTAACTGCTGGTCTCAGCAAATGTTTTCTTATGATAGCTTTTAGTTTGTGGTTTCTTTCCAAACAGATGAAATACACCAATTGAGTAGTCTAAAGCCAGCTCTTTATAAATTTCATACATTTTCAGTGAAGAGATGCAGTAGGAAGTCTGTTCTTTCTAACATTATTTGTGTAAGTATTCTTCAGACTTCATGGATTTAAATCATGTCACAGCTGGCACACCTTTGGGAATTACCTACCTCACCTCCATAACTGCAGTTGAGGAAAAGGGTTGGAGAGACTTGCTTATGCTGGTTGCTGACAACTAGAACCAGGCCTCTGGACTCCTTGCCCTTCTCATGTCCTTTCTCCAGGCCTCACAGTCTTCCGGAATGAGCTGTGTTTGTGTTTTGGGAACTGAGGATGAGGCAACGCCCAGAATTCAAGGTTGACCAACTACGTGTATGACTGTGGACCGCCATTAGGTCAAAGGGACCCAGTCTTCCACCTTCCCTAAAAAGCCAAAGGATATATAATGTTCGAGCCCCAAAGTGAAAAGACTTGAAATGCTGCCAACTATCTGTGAAAGAACTTGTGACATCTTGAAGAAACTCAAATCTGGACTCACTATCCTAAAAACGAAAACAAAGTATCAGGAAAGAAATTTGGAATATTAATTTGCTATTTAAATGAAATGAGTGGAAACAGCAGTTGGCGTAATGGCTATGTCGCTGGTCCCTCGTGTAGTCAACTGTGGTTCGAGTCCCGGACCTGGTGGCTTAAATATACCAGGTACATGTGTGTGCGTGCCCAAGATCCCAAGAGTAGAATGGAAGAGAAGGGATTGTGGCATGGCCATGCCCCCGGTGGGGGGGGTGATTTCTCACTTTCTGTTTCTCTGTCTCTCTCTCTATTTCTGGCAAACACACCCACCCTATGGCAAAAACCTCTCAAAAAAAAAAAAAAAAAAAACCAAGAAGTCAATTGGAAAAAGGGCAATTTTGTCACTTTGATGACATGATAGAACCCTGTAAATGGCGAAGCACTGAACCAGGTTCTTCTGTGCTGAGGGAATGTGGACAGCTGACAAACATCCCCTTGTGAAGCAAAAAGCTGAGACTGGGCTATGTGCCTGTCAAACTCACCCCAGGAGCTTCGCACATCTGGGCTCTGGCTTTACAATAAAGACCAAGGAACAATATACTCCTCACAGCTTTCTGGCCCCAGAGATTCTCAAACCTATTCCCAATCTGTCAGGGTGCTAATCTGTTTGGAACATTCAGTCTTTCTTTCCAGAATGTCTTCCCAGAGTAGCCCAACCCTTTCTTCAAACTGCCAACACAGCCTGACTGTGGTGCTCCTCTCAGCTGGAATTCTGCACACACATCTGCTGGCTGGTTTATTTCACTATTAATGAAGACGCTGTGTGACAAAAATCTGAACGTAATGTGCATATTGGTCAGTGATCTGCAGCACTTTGCCTGTGAATGCTGACCCTGGGATGTGGCTTCACAGCTGGTACCTACAAGAACAGCCAGCTTCTATGGGGCAAGGAGTGGTGATCTCTCTAAACCCTTTAAGAACTATGGCTATGTAACAGCTATTGAGGTACTGAGAATTACGAAGAGTAAAACAGAAAAACATTCTTTAGCGTTAAAGGATCCTAATTTGCATTATCTATTTTAAACTCTCATATGACTTTTAACCCATATTCAATGAGTCTGGGTTACCCTTATCTTTGAAGCCAGGTGCAGCCAAGGGTAATAATAGTTAAACCACATCACTCTGACTTAGGAAGCTTTCAAGAATTTTCTAGATTTTTACTGTAATTTACTTAAAACTTTCCAAAAATCCTCTTTAGACATTTTTTCTTTTCCCCAATTCTCATATTGCCAGGATTACCTTCCTGCACATTTTGGTGAATGAAATCCTCCATCTAACTATATACTTATATTTTGAAGAGGAAATTGAAGGTGCAAAAAGAATCCATGTAAATTATTTGTATTGTTTAGCTCAATGACAAATTCTAAGCTCCATGGATACAGGGATAAGTAGTCCTTAAAATTAGGGCTGGCCCCATAGTACATTGGTCAAGTGCTAGCTGGAGGGAGCTGGATCCCACATGGATGACTATGGTTCGAATCCTGGTTGTAGTGACTTGGGAAACATGTGCGCATGTGCCCAGGATTTTGATGTGATGGAGGAATGAAGGAGGATTATAGCATGACTTGGCCCCACTGGGGGTGTTCTCTCTCTCTCTTTCACACACACACACACACACACACACACACACACACGGAATTAAAAGAGAGAAAGAGATGGGACTAGTAGATGGCATAACGGTTATGTAGCTGGACTCTCATGTAGTCAACTGCAGTTCAAGTCCTGGACCCGATGGCTTAAAATTCATGCCAGGCGCATGTGCGCATGCCCAAGATCCCAAGAGGGGAATGGACGAGAATGGATTGCAGAGTGATCATCCTCCTCTCACTCCCAGGGGATGATTTCTTGCTTTCTGTCTCTCCTGTGAGTGCATGCACCCTATAGCAAAAATCTCTCGAAAGGAAGAAAGAAAGAAAGAAAGAAAGAAAGAAAGAGAAAGAAAGAAAGAAAGAAAGAAAGAAAGAAAGAAAGAGAAAGAAAGAAAGAAAGAAAGAAAGAAAGAAAGAAAGAGAAAGAAAGAAAGAAAGAAAGAAAGAAAGAAAGAAAGAGAAAGAAAGAAAGAAAGAAAGAAAGAAAGAAAGAAAGAAAGAAAGAAAGAAAAAGAGAAAGAGAGAGGAAAGAATGAAAAAAGAGAAAGATAAGACACGATTCCTGTCTTATCACATAACTGTCTCCATTTTATAGAAAAGAATCTACACTGAGATTGAGGGAAGTTATAGAGATAGTAGTGGTGACATCTGAACTGGAACCACATTGTCTAACTTCTGGATCATTACTCTCTAGTTGTGTATCCAAGAATTTGTTTTTCACAGATTGAAAAATGTGAACTATTTGGGAATAAAAAAACATACACGCAAAATTTATACCTAATTAAAATTCTTGAACTGGCATAAAAATAATAGTTATAGCTAACTGGAATTTGAAATGGCTTTCTATATGACTTCTTTATTTGGTTAAGCCTCTATCGCAGTGTCTCTACAGAGCAATAGAATGTAAAGCAAAAGTGAAAATGTTCTGTTTTTCCCAGTACAGTAGTCATTAGCCACATGCAACTATTGAGCCCTTGAAATGCAGCTGGTACAACTGAGGAACTGAATTATTTTATTTTATTTTATTTTAATGAATTTAAATCTAAGTATACACATGCAGCTAGCAGCTGCCATACTGGACAGCATGAATCTTTAGGATGCAGATCATGAGAACATTGGGGATGACAAGGGATTACCTTTTACCCTTAACAGATAAAACAGATGATCTTTTCCTTAACAGATAAAAGGGATATTAAATAGATATTTAGCAGATTTTTACCTGTTTTAATATTTTGTGGGCATTCACGTAAAACTGTAGTAGAAACAGAAACAGTTAGACAAAGGTATTAACAGGCACCGCTTCGAAGGATGTAGCCTTTCACAAAAATAAGAGACAATGCCCCCTCACTTCACATGCTGGTCACCGATGGAAAAGGGATTGCTTATTCACAGACAGAGAAAAGCAGTTATAGTTGCAGCAGGAGAGAAAATAAGCTTGTGCTTACAGATAGCTGTTTCTAAAAAAAAAAAAAAAAATGGCATGGCTATTTTTGTCCATGCAAGCCCTGACATGTTACTGAGTAATAAAAGCTCTGTGGTCTATAATGAACTGGTTGAATGAGAGAGGAAGAGAAATATTATTCTCTCCTCTTAATAAGAGGCAAGCAAACCTGAAACCTTAAGTTGTTGTCTATGCACATTGAAAAAAAAAAAGAAAAGAAAAGATTTCAGCTCTTAAATATTCAGGAGTTGGCTCAGCAGATGGCAAACATTCTTTTTGTATCACTAATTTCGATAACCTTCTGACTTACATGTTGTAGTATCTAAGGACTTTTTTTAAAAAAATAAAAGCACACCTGCTTTTTCTTATTCATTTTGCATTTCCACACTCTAAAGATAACCAAGCTGCTCAGTGTGACAAAGTTTCATCAGTGGTTCTGCTCCTAAGACAAGGAGGTGGGGAAATTTGGTGGCCAGGGGCCAGAAGACTAAATAAAAAAGAGAAGTGTAAATGGAGTCCCTGACTCTAACTCTGTTCCACCAGCCCATGTGGGCATCATCAGAGGGTAAACCGAAGCCAAGACTCATGGAGCAATCAGGTCACCATAATTTTCTCCTCTTACTTATGCATGGAATTATTCTAGACAGACAAGACACCATCCTTAGTGATAAAAAGGTAATGGGATATAAGTTTTCAACTTGTTTTACTATGGAACTGTCACTACCTTTTCCCTTGGTTCTCTACAATGGGAGGGGTGATTCAACCCGTTCTAGGAGGAAGAAGTCTTTCTCAGCCCTCCCTCAATTTTCTCCACTGCTCACCCCAGGATGGGAAGAGTAAACATTTCTCTTTCCCTCCCAGGAAGTGGCTGATGATTGAACTTCCCTACCCTGAAAAGACAAGCTAATGACTTAATCCCTGAATTTCACAGCTATTGAAGACTATTGCAAGAAAGAAAGTAAATACCACAGGGCTCTGGGCTTGATAGATAGTTTGTAATGCTGGTGTTCGGAAAAGTATTAAAAATTGGAGTTGGTGAGCAAGAGAAATGGGGAGCTACTAGATGGAGGAAATTGTCTGGGAAAAGAGAATGGGGTAGGAGGGATGGGGGGCACTGAACAGGAAACATAGGGTGAGTAATCAGAAAACAATCTTGAATATGAGGAGAGTAACAGCCCTCTCTATTTTCCACTCAATGCTGACATAAGTGAGAAACATCCCCAAATCTTTGCTTGAAACATCAGGTGGGATTTTTCTTCACCTCACTAAATCAACTGCCCAATGGACACACCCAACAACCATTCTTGTCACAGAATGTTGTCTATTTGCAGTTGCTTTCTAGGGCCATCTTGCCACTATACCCTAGCACACCTTAAGCCCCAGGGACTTTGTGATAGGTCCTGGGGACAAGTCTCTCCACCTGCACTCTGGAAGATGGAGGGAAGAGAGTTTATGTTCAAGCTGGGACAGTGACCTCTAGGTGAAAGCTCTGTAATGTAAATGTAGTCAACCACTAATTGTCTTTCCAATATCGGTTCCCATTTTCATGTTCTTCAAACAAATTCCAAATATTTTTTTAGGCATCTACCATCCCTGTTGCTTGCTTGCTTTGTTTTAATTTGTTCAGGATTTTCTATTAATTTATTTTTTGAAAGAGAGAGAGAGAGACACCCTTGTCAAAGTCTCATCATGGTGTCATCCCCTTTCCCCAGCCCTCCAGCCAGCCAGAATTGTGGGAATGCTTTCATATTAGCTCAGGATCCAAACCCACAGTCAGCCATATGACTTCCAGCATTTCAGTTAAGTTTGCCACCACCTGTGCCACCAAGACTGGGTTGTGCCATTCCTTTCTTCTTGATTTGTGTTACTTAGGGGAAGCAGACCCTATCTCCAGTTTGGAGGTGGTTCTTGCTGATTCAAGCATGGTGATTCCATCCCCATCATTCAGGATCCAGACTTAAGTCAATTAACCCATCGTGTTTCCCTTTGGATAATGAACTGGGGCCTATGACCTACCTGGAGTGTTGGTTCAGTTAGACAGAAGGAAAAAAAGTTTTATTTCAAGGTTGGAAGAGATAATATTGTCCTTTTCTGTTGAACATGAACTTAAAAAAAATATATCACATTGATTCTTAATGGCAACCATTCTTTTAACACAAGGAAAACCAATCTTAAGTTGATTGAAAAGTTGTGACACAGGGTATGATGAAAAATCCCTTTATATTTGAATACATTGTTGAGCCATGAAATCAGCCATTTTTGAAGCTCACCCTACATACGAATTTATCCATGTCCCTATTGTTTAAATCAATTTACTTGGAGTTGTCTATTATTTGTTGCAGAAAACTGATTTAAAATCTTTAACAGAGGTACCTAGGAAGCTGGTAAGGAAACTTTTTTAGTCTACTATTATGTACTAAGAGAAATATCTGAGAATGAATGCTTTCTAAAAAATAAAGTTTTATTTGACTCACATTTCAAAGGATGGAACCTTTAAAGGTGTAAGACTGGCATAAAACTGACTACATTACAACACAGCCAACAGAAGCAGAGAAAATGGTAGCTGTTACAGAGATAGAGATACCTGGGGGCAGCCATCTTCCTTTTATAATAACCTGCTCTACCAAGAACTAACCCCTTATGAAAGTTAGAATTCACTTTGTCTCCCCTGACACAGCATTAGCCCATTCAGGAGGCTAATGCCTCCGTAGCCAATCACTGCCCACTAGACATCGCTTCTTAAAGGTCTCCTTACTCCCAACACCATTACACCGGGAAATAAAGTCTGAAACAGGAATTTCTAGGAGACAAGCTGTTGTCCACATCATAGCAAAAATACAGATCTCTAGTAAAATAGGCCTTAGGACTTTCAATGATTGGTTGTAAAGGGAAACCTTTTAGTGTAGAAGAGGCAGGTAGCTAATTAAGCAGCCTCAATTCTACTTTCAAGGATCTCACTTTTCTACATTGGATTCTCTGAAGTCAGACACAGTAGCCCACTGCTCTTGGCCCCAGAGGTATGTAAACTCCCCTTTAATGTCTGAGCTAGATATAGTCAAGTCGTAACTTGCAACAAGACTTTGTTATATGCTAAGGGAGAACAACAGGAACATGAGCAAAGACTATACCAACAAAATTCATCCGACCTTCAGAAAAAAATATATATATATCATTATTCCACTGCTAGCTGGTACCTGGGTTTACAGAGCTTGTCTTATTTCTTATTCTAGTATATAAGGGATTTACCAAAGATTGACTCAGCTTGACATGTGATCCTGCTCCAGTTTCTAACTTCCTCCAAATTGACCTCCACATGGACAGCACCATCTTAACAGTCTCCCTTTCTGGAGTTCCCTCCCAGGCCTTTGATACACTTTAGTGTGAGTGTTCCATTCAAGTTCTGGTCAAGAGAGTCCATCTATGGCTGTGTTTCTCAAAGTCTGACCCAAGAATTCTTCATGTTAAGATCACCAGGGATTATCACTTAAACCCTGGGTTCCATTCTAAGGGACTATGACTCATGAAGTCCTGAGTGGCACCCAGGTATTTATGTTTTAGCCAGTTCTCCAGGTAATTGAGATGGAGATAAAAACAGAAAACATTGTTCTGAGAACAGATTTAACTTTGATGTAGCGTGTATGGTATACTACAAGGAAATAAATATTATACAAATGCGACTCCTCAAATGTGTATATGTAGTAGCTGTTTTAGACTTTCAAATCTGCCTGGTAAATACAATTCTACAAGACATGTTCTATACCTCTTTTTCTTTCATAACCATTCCAAACACATGCTTTTTTGTACCCAGAAAAATAGGTACATGAGAGAATTTTGTCTTCTTCTGACTTCAAAGAATCATAGTTAAAATTAATATATACATTTCTTTGTAGAATGAGATTTTATAAGAAGCAACATAAAGAAAGAGATCTTGGAAGCTGAACATAACTTTCAACAGAAATAATTTTGTTTTTATTTTTAAAAAAATTCTAAAAATTGCCAAATGCATGGTAGTAGGATGCTCACACATTAGAACTCAAGGATGACTGGGAACCAGCAGATGGCCTAATAGTTACATTGTGGGACTCCCACACAGTTGACCACAGTTGAAGTCCCAGACCCAGGGGCTTAAAACACATCAGGCATGTGTTGGGGCATGCCCAAAATCCCAAGAGGAGAATGGAGGAGAATGGATTGTGCGTGGCCATCCCCCCCTGGGGCAAGGGGGTTGATTTCTTGCTTGCTCTCTCTCTCTCTCTCTCTCCCTCTCTCTCTCTGTTTTACTGCAAACATATGTGCCTTATAGCAGGGAAAAAAGAAAAAAGAAAAAACTCAAGAATGACTGAAAATAAACAAGAGAAGCAGTTTAAGTGACCAGTCCACATGCCAAGTTCACTCCTACTCATAACAAAATAAGAATGGCCCTCCTGATGCAAAATGTCTCTTTATTCAACTAGCCATGCATTCATCAACTCACTGTCTTCTGTTTCCAGATCACATTTCATTAATTTATTGTGTTTAGAGTTGTCGTAACCATAAATCATTACATGGAAGGAGTATGAAGTACTTTACTTGAATGTATGCTGTCTTTACTTAGAATGACTCTGATGGATATTAGGTAAGTTTTAGCTGGTGGGAAGTTGTCTGAAACTGGATTCGCCCAGAGCAGCCGCTGAGACAGAGATTTAAGTGATAGCAATTTATCTGCCATCAGATCAAGGAATTGTGGGTAGACAAATGGGGAAGTGGAATAGAAAGGGAAAAAAAGAAAGAAAAGCAATACCGGGTGTGATAATGAGCAATTTACTGCTGTG